TTTCCTCACTACCCCCTAGGTGAAGTTGGAAGGCGCTGAGTCAGGTATAGGAAAAAGGGAAGGTATTAAGTTTGATGTACTCTATGATCCTATTAACGAGACCCTCTTTGGCTACTCAGCGCAGCAGAAACCACTACTCCTCGAGGTGTTATGCAATGGGCGACGCCTCGAGGCACTGGTGGACAGCGGTGCATCTCACTCGGTGTGTGACCGCGGAGCATTGGAGAAAATTGGAGAGAAGGCGGAAGAGACCCAGTTTTCAGCATCCATGGTGGACGGTACGAAGCTTCCTATCCACGGCGAAGCATCACTGCAGCTGCATATAGGTGCGTTGAGGTGGAAGCTGAGGCTACCAGTCACCAACATCAAAGGATTAGATTTTATCTTGGGGCGAGATTTCCTGAAGCGGTTCAACCCCGAGATCGATTGGGTCAACAGCAAGGTGTGCATCTACAACAACGGGAAGCGGATAGCACTGCGAAGCTGGACGGATACAGGGAACGTTCATGAAACGACAATGGCACGGTTCGATCAGACGGTGAACGAGAGTAACACGGGTTACCTAGCACTGGTTATGGCAGCAGCAGAGGAGGAGAAGCCGAGTTCCGAGCTATCTGCAGTAGTAAAGGAGGTCTTGGAGCAATACGAGGATATAATGCCTGACGACCTACCTGCAGGCGTACCTCCAGCACGCACCCACGAGCACGAGATCGTGGAGGAACCAGGTGCGAAACCCGTCTCACGTGCACCATACCGACTGAGTCCGACTGAACAGACAGACATGAAAAAACAGATAGAGTATCTACTAGACAGACAACTGATCCGCCCATCCACCTCTCCCTACGGTGCACCAGTTTTCTTCACTCCAAAACCAGACGGCAGTCTACGGATGTGCATCGACTACCGCGCACTGAACAAACAGACAGTTAAAAACAAATACCCCATTCCGCGCATCGACGACTTACTGGACCAACTACGTGGTGCAACAGTCTTCTCGAAGCTGGACCTACGGTCGGGCTACTGGCAGATCAAGATGGCGGACAACTGGATCCACAAGACAGCATTCCATACCAGATACGGCTCCTACGAATACTTGGTGATGCCGTTCGGACTCTGCAACGCACCAGCAACGTTTCAGGCGGAGATGAATCACATCTTACGACCCCTGCTAGACGAGTGCATGGTGGTGTACCTGGACGACATTCTCATCTACTCCAAGAACATGAAGGAGCACGTGGAGCATCAACGGAAGGTGTTCGAGATCTTTCGGAAAAACAAGTTCTACGTGAAGCTGTCGAAGAGCGACTTCGCCCTAAAGAAGGTGCAGTTTCTCGGGCCTACTGAAAAAGGATACGCCCTACAAATGGGATACCCCTCATCAGCAAGCCATGGAGCAGCTACAGACAGCACTGACTACAGCGCCAGTACTCATCTTGCCGGATCCAAACAAGGACTACGTGGTGGAAGCAGACGCTAGTGACCAAGCAGTCGGAGCAGTACTGATGCAGGATCACGGACGCGGCTTGCAGCCCATCGCCTACCTCAGTAAGAAGCTACACGGAGCAGAACTGAACTACCCCATCCATGACAAGGAAGCCTTAGCAATAGTCATAGCCTTCAAGGCGTGAAGTTGTTACCTAGAGGGAGCCAAGACTACAGTCTATACTGACCACTGCAGTCTCAAATACCTGAAGTCGCAGCTGACGCTCTCACGGCGACAGGTGCGGTGGGTGGACTTCCTGGAAACTCACTTCCACTACGACATCGTCTACAAGCCCGGGCTACACAACAAGGCAGACGCGTTGAGCCGCCCCGGACATGTAGCAGGCATCCAGCTCGACGGGATGAACCCTCTACTCAAGGGTCTATTCCAACATGGGTACTCCGTGGACGCAGAAATCTCTACAGCACAGACCAAGAAGTTGTTACAGTGGGAGAAAGACTTAGCTGTAAGGAAGGGTTCAGGAAAGATTTGGGTACCGAATTATGCCCTGCTACGGCATATCCTATTGGAGGAGTTTCACGACGTACCATACGCGGGACATTTCGGGAGCAACAAAACGTTAGCAGGGATAGCGAAGTATTACTACTGGCCCGGGATGGCAGCAGACGTGCAGCAGTTCATCACCTCTTGCGACATGTGCCAGTGGATGAAGAGTAGCAAGCAGAAAAAGCAGGGTTACTTCAGCCTCTACCCGTACCGGAGCAGCCATGGCAGGTCGTTAGTCTCGACTTCATCACCAGACTTCCTTCGACCTCACGGGGGCACGATTCCATCCTCGTAGTCATCGATAAGTTCTCCAAAATGTGTCACTTCATACCGACCAACGCCACAGCTACAGCTGAAGCAACCCTCTTCTTTGACCGCATCATCACCATCCACGGCATCCCTGCTACACTCATCTCAGACAGAGACCCAAACTTCACCAGTAAGTTCTAGAAGGAGCTCATGGGACTGTTGGGGACAAAGCTTGCAATGTCTTCAACATACCACCCCCAGACTGACGGACAGACAGAGCGACTCAATCAAGTGGTTGAACAGTTACTGCGCACAGCTTGCAAGGACGACGTCAGCCACTGGGACACACAGTTACCGACCCTAGAGTTCGCTTACAACAACGCCTCACATGCGGCCACAGGGAAAACTCCTTTCTTCCTGTGTTACGGACGGGAACCACTCACACCACAGCAGCCAACCACACAGGCACACGTCCAAGCCGCACATGACTTCGTCACCACCATGCAGCAGCTATGGGAGAAAACTCAGCGACGACTCACCACGATGCAGACCTCCTAGAAGCAGTATGCCGATCGTCAGCGACGTGATCACTCAGTAGCAGTCGGAGATCAGGTGCTTCTTGACACGTGCAACTTGAACCTGTCTCACCTCCCATCCAAACTCCGGCCTCGCTTCTGTGGTCCTTTTCTCGTTGAGGCACAGGTGACACCAGTTACATTCCGCTTGCGCTTACCAGCTACTTGGAAGCTTCACAATGCTTTCCATGTGCAGCTACTGAAACCCTACAAGGACCCCAACCAACAGTTCCAAGGACGACAGCTACCGCCACCTCCACCTGTTCTTGTGCAGGATGAACCCGAGTACGAGATCGAGCGCGTTCTCTCTCATCGGCGCCGCGGCGGCAAGACCCTTGAGTTCCTGATACGCTGTAAGGGAAACGACCCCACTGAGGACAGTTGGGTTGCAGAATATGATATGGGCAACGCACGCCGTGCTCTCAAGGACTATCTTGTCAAGAAGGGTGTATCTCACGCTACCCAGCTTTGAGGAGGGGACGTGTGAGAGTACGACGGCTTATGCGAGCTATGCTTGCTTGCCTTTACTTTATCATGCTATTTCTAGCATAGGATAATGATATGCATGAATTGCTTGATTTCCTAGGCTAGGTGCTTTCCTATATTTTATTTTAGTTATAGCACCGAGCTAGGTTGCGTGCACCGAATTTTGACCTTTTCGGTCGCCACCGAATTGCCTTCTACCGAATTCGGTAAGGATCCGTTCGGGACGCTACGCGGCCCGCGGAACCTTCGCGTAACACCTGGTTACGGGGCCTTGTGTCGAGCCTATATATAGCCTCGTGTTGTACCCATGTGATCATTCAATTCGACTCAATTCTCATTCTCTTTTCTGAGCTCGATCCTAGATCCTCACATCCCCACGCGTCTCACTCGCCGCGTCCCCCGCCGCCCCTCTCGCCGCTTCCACCTTCGCCTTCACCTCCTTCACTTCAAAGGCAGCAAAATGTGAAAAAAAAAAACGTGAATGAAATGACTACGAATGAAGTGAGTACAAATAGGAAACCCTAGTTGGGTTGTACCCCCTATTGGATACCCCACTATAGCCTACACAAATAAGTAAGCTATAATATTCTGACACACCCCCATAGGCAAAGTGGGGGAGAACAAGGGGTCACAAGACTAGTCAAGCAAAACAAAGCAAAGCTCAGGGTGGATCACAAAGTCACCACACATTCCGAGCACAAGTTCAAGGGCCACAAGGCCAGTTCACATGCAAGACCATATATAGATATATACAAGAGTCAAGCAAGCAAGGGCAAGAGTATATATAGGTCAAGGTACAAGCAAGGTCAAGTTGTGAGCAAGTGAGGCAAGAGTATTGTGACCGAGTCGCTGGATGCTCATGCTGAGACTGAGCTGGGCTATGAGGCAGACCGGTTGTTGCTGTAGAAATTATGTGGTGGTGGTGGTGAGGTGAGGTGAACTGCGCAGCAGTGAGGGTTGGTGCGGCTGGGCAGAGGGCAGATGAGGACTCTGGATGAGGAGCTGAAAATTGTGACCCAGTCGGAAGGTGGTGGTGAACCATGCAGCAGTGAGGGTGGATGAGGTGGTGCGGCAGAACGGAGGGCAGATGAGGACGAGGGATGAGGAGTTGAAGATTGTGGCCCAGTCGGACTGAGTTGGGTGGGCTGTGAGGCAGGGAGGTTGTTGTCGGGAACTTTTTGTCTCCAGACGGTGGCTGGCAGCAGATATGGGGCTGTTTTGGCTGTTATGTGCTGAACAGGATCAGGTAAATCTGCTGCTGTGAGATCATGATGACATGGCAGGGTTGTGAGAGCCGGTTTCCAGAATAATGCACAGTTGAGTCAGCTATAAATGCATATCTGACATGGCACACATGCACGTTTCGGGTTTGAGATGCCTGGCATTCTGTACTGGAACCAGGCAGGCATCACAATGCTTAAAGCCCCTCTCTTTGTGATGCCTGTTTATATGAATGCACCTCTGTGTTGTCCCAATATGATATAAAGCATGAATCACATTTACAAATTGAATTGAACCCCCCAACTTGATCAGTCTTACCCAGTGCCCCACAGCTCATTCACAATAGCAGGCCCGATAGTACAGCCTAGGAAGGGACACCGTAACATACGGTATCCTAGGGGGCAGCGTAATGACTACTCATGACTGTACAATGTGTTACAAATGTACGTGCAAAAACGAAAACCTGCAGCATTGGTAGCCTAATTGGAGACCATGGTTTCTGTCTCCTGCACGAACCCATCGCCCGTCCACTCCTTGTCGGACGCAAGCCCTCTCTTGGCGGCATTGCGCTGCTCCACCGCCTCCCTCTGCCGCCTCACCAGGTCCGTGTGTGTTGTGAAGTACTGCAGTGAGTGCCTGCAGTGAGGAGAAGAGGGGTGTTAAAGAGGGGCAGGGTGGAGTTGGAGGGAAGGGTTGGAAACGAGGGCTCTGAAACCCCTGCCGCCTCACCAGGTCCGTGTGTGTTGTGAAGTACTGCAGTGAGTGCCTGCAGTGAGGAGAAGAGGGGTGTTAAAGAGGGGCAGGGTGGAGTTGGAGGGAAGGGTTGGAAACGAGGGCTCTGAAACCCCTGCCGCCTCACCAGGTCCGTGTGTGTTGTGAAGTACTGCAGTGAGTGCCTGGGGATGGAGGGGCGTTGGGGGAGGGAGGGATGAGGGGGAGGAGGGGGGGGTTGGTGGGGTTGAGGCACCTAAAATCCCTCTGCCACTGCACCAGGCCCGTGTGCCTGGTGTGCCACTGTGCAGCGAGTGGCCGAGGAATGGATTCAACACAGGGGGTTGAAGTGGAGATGGGAAAGAGGGGGGGAGGGGAGAGTGAGGGGGATGGAGGGTTGGGTAAGAAAGAGGGAGACATACAAGAGCTGGTGAAAGGTAAAAAGCACACCAGAGTTACTGTGGGAAATGGCTGAAAGCCGTGATTAAGTATTGTCATCCCAGGCAACGCTGCTGCTGAGTGCTCGTACCCTTTAAAGTCGCTGATAGACGTGAAGCCGTGCTGCTCCATGAACCCCTGTAGGCCCCCACAGAGCGACTTCACGAGCCCATAGCCATGCAGCATCACCCCCGTGCACACCTGCCGGAGATGATGGGATGTGGCATGGAGATGTGTGGAATGGGGAGCATGAATGTCAACAGGAAAGGCACAAGCTGGCACCAGAGCGACTTGATGAGCCCATAGCTATTGCAGCATCACCCCCGTGCACACCTGCAGAGATGATGGGATGTGCGTGTGAGCCGAATAACATGCACATAACATGCAGAAGGAGGACAGATGGCTAGGCAGACGAACACATGTGCAGATGCTGTTTTACATGCATGCTTGGAGAGCATGGATAAGAGCTGCAGGTGAAGGATAGAGACCCGCCAGTGCCATGCTCTCCAGGATAGGTTCTTTTGCTCTTGAGAACCCCACCCACCAGTGCCAGCCTTAAATGTGGTCTGCGCTGCACCACGTCCTACCCACTTGCACCACAGTCCACCACGTCACACCCACCTGCACCGTATCAGCTCCCAGCAGGATGAACTCAGCAGCGTTCTCCCCCGTCTCCACGCCACCAATGCCAGACAGCGACTTGCCCTGCCCTGGGAACTTCTCCGCCTCCATCCTCGCGATTTTCATCACATGCGCCAGGGCGATGGGCCGCACTGCCTTGCTCGAGTACCCGCCTGGCGTTGTGTAGCTGTGGGGTGGTGTGGGTAGGTGAGATTTGAGGACGGGCGGGATGGAAAGAGAGAGCACGAGAAAATGCAATGGTTGATTCATCTTGCCGCCTGCATCTTCACAATCTTCATCACGTGCTCAAGGGCTTTAGGCCGCACTGCCTTGCTCGAGTACCCGCCTGGCGTTGTGTAGCTGCAAGTGATGGGGGAAGATGAGGTGGGGGGCAGTCAAGAGGGAGATGAGTGTGTAAGCAGGGAGACTGACACAGGGACTTCTGCTGCTGCTGCTCTCCGGCCTGAAGCATGGGAGGAGAGGCATGCGATGGGAGAGGCATGCGATGGGAGAGGCAGCGCCACCCACTCACTCACCCTTCAACGCATGGCTCGGGCCTGAGCGTCTTGAGGTTGACCTCCATGACGCTCGTAATGGTGTTGATGGCGCTCACTCCCTCACACCCCGCCTCCAGTGCCACTCGTGCTGGCTGCACGTTGAGAAGGGAGAGGGAGAGGGAGAGGGAGAGGGAGAGGGAGGAGAGCAATTAGAGGCAGACAAACGGCCACGAGTGAAGTTTTGAGACACCTGAGTGAAGAGGTGCAAAAAGGGTGATGGCTCTCATGCTCTCACTGCACGCCTCTCACTCCACCCTTGCTAATCCCCCCTCCCTCTCCTCATCCTCAGCAAGCCGAACTCATCCTCATACCTGGGAGATGTCGGTGATGTTGGGAGTAATCTTGGCCCACACGGTGATGGACGGATGAGGCGATTCTAATCAACCTGCATAATGCATGGGTATAAAGTCTCAAGGTACCAACCTGGGTGATGTCGGTGATGTTGGGAGTCATCTTGGCCCACACGGGGATGTGAGCAGCAGCGTTGATCCACCCGCACACCTCGTGCAGCAGCTCGCAGTCCTGCCCCATCGCCATGCCCATGCGCCTCTCCGGCATGCCGTGTGGGCACGAGAAGTTGATCTCAAACGCGTCCTGAGAGGGAGGGAGACAGGAGAACTCGAAGAAAATTTGTCTTTTGAGCCGACTCAACAGTCACATCGCTATGCCCATACGCCGCTCCAGCATGCCATGTGGACACGAGAAGTTGATCTCAAACGCGTCCTGAGAGGGAGGGTGCGGGTAATTTGGAGAGAAATGGCTTTACACTCGCCTCAAAAGGCACGAGAAGTTGATTTCAAACGTATCCTGCATGAGGATGAAGGGAGAGAATGCTAGGAAATCGCACCGCAATTTTTGCTGCTAGACCTCTGAAAGTTTGGTTCTTGACTTCAATGATAATGCCCCACAGCACATGCCTCCTCGTGCAACAGTGCAGTCAACCATTTATGGTCCATCACATCACACAATGCTTGTTGTGACTCAACTCCTCCGCTCCGCCACACAAGTTAAAGTCTGGTTCAGTCCGGTTCAGTCCAAGTTCAGTCCAATTCAGTCCAGTCCGGTGCAGCCCAGTCTGGTTCAGTGCATTTTAGCCCAGTTCCTCCAGTCCACTTCAACGCACTCACCACGCCGACCTCCTCGCAGCGGCCAATGATCTCCTCCCACGCGTCCTTGTTAAACTCCTCCATGATGGACGCAATGAGCACGCGGTCGAAGTACTCTGCCTTGAGCTGCTTCATACCAGTCCATTCCAATCCGGTTCAGTCCGGTTCAATGCATCCCAGTCCAGTACAGTGCAGTTCAGTGCAATGGAACACAAAAAGCCCAATCCAACGCACTCACCACGCCGACCTCCTCGCAGCGGCCAATGATCTCCTCCCACGCGTCCTTATTGAACTCCTCCATGATGGACGCAATGAGCACGCGGTCCGGGTACTCCGCCTTGAGCTGCTTCAGCTCCGCCAGCATCACCTCGAACGGCCGGTCGCTGATGAGCTCGATGTTCTGCCACCCTATCACGTCGCGCGAGTGCGGCGCGCGCAGCTTCGCGTAGCGCGGCGTCACGTTCACCACCTTGGAGGAGTCGAGGGAGAGCTGCGCAACCGGGGGGGAGAGAGAAACGGGGAACGGGGGACGTGCGGACATGGCAACGGAAAGGGAGATAAATGGAAGCGGGTGAGTGGGGCGCGCAGCTTCGCGTAGCGCGGGGTGACGTTCACCACCTTGGAGGAGTCGAGGGAGAGCTGCGCAGGGGGCGGAAAGGGGGGTGCGTTGAGGGAGGGAGGCGAGGGGGAAGCAGTGAGGGAAGCGTAGCTTCGCGTAGCGCGGGGTGACGTTCACCGCCTCGGAGGAGTCGAGGGAGAGCTGCCGGGAAGGAGGGGCACGGGGAAAGGCAGGCGAGGGGAAACGAAAACGGTTGAGAAACGCGCGCAGCTTGGCATAGCGCGGCGTCACGTTGACCACAACGAGTCGAGGGAGAGCTGCCGGGGGCGGGGAACCGTGGGAAACGGGGAAAGGACGGAGGGGCGATGGGAAAGGGCAGAGAGAGAACGGGAAGGGACGGTTCCTAGCTTGAAGTGACGTGTGGTGGCGTTTAGGACCGACGCGGGGTGGCAGATGAGTGAATTTTAAGTCACCTCAAAAAGCGTGCGGAACGTGCGGTGATAATAGCACGTCGGGACTGAAAGTCCGCAGCGTTAAGAGGTAATACGTACCTGAATATGAATTAAAGGTGAAATTGAGAACCGGAAAGGGAATAAAAGAGGTGAGACGAGCGGCATACTAGACTCGAATGGGCAAATTCAGGAAAAAAACATTATCCGAATACCTTTTATCTCTCGTCATTTTCTTTTCCATTTCTTTCTCTGTCCTCTCTCTCTAGGAACAAGGTCATCGCGACTCACCGTCTTGCAAATGACGCCGCCCCAGCCCTCGTCGAACGCCTTCTTCATGACCACGTAGTTGGTGCCGGGCGGTCCCGACGCGATGACGAAGGGGTTGGGCAGGCGCAGTCCGTTCACCTCCACGCTCAGGTCCGGCCCCTCCTGCACGCGCCCGTCCACCAGCTTCGCCGCGCGCGACGCTGGCGCGCCGTTGCCCGTCGACGCGACGATGGGGTTAATTCTCCCGCGAGATTGAGAGAGGGAGAGAGGGGCGGTTCTGATTTTCAAGGGTGGTGAAAGGCTGTGAGCGGAGCTGAATGACTTGGCTGGTTTCGCGCTGGTGAGGGGACCCCAGGTGGGGGTTGACGTAGCCATTGCTGTCGCCATTTGATGAGAAGTTGAAGCGAGTTAAGCCGGAGATTACAGTGGCACTTGAGCGTGAAATCAAAACACACTGTTCAAGTATGGCCGAAGCAAGAAGAGCAAGTAAGATGTCACAAACAATATGGAATTGGCGAAGCAAGAAATGCTAGAAATTGGAATGGCCTGCCAAGAAATCTGAAATTGGTAAGGATGGAGCTGGACAACAAAGTGACCTTGCCGAAGCACCTCGAACATGAAACCGCATTCCTAGAATTACCCAAGATCTCCTGATTGAGCCCAGATTGGTGAGACATTTGTCATTATGTTTTCAAAGAATCTGCCACTTACTAGCAGTTTGAAGCGCTCCAAAATTTCGCAGACACGTACTCAAGAAGCTTGAATTTATAACGAGACTCTAGCTGACATCGCTTTTTGAACACCACCTAGACTCACAAACCACTTGCTGCTCCATTGTGGTGGCGGAGATGCATTGTCTGTTGAAGCCACGTTGGCATCTGGGTTTTCCACCTACGCAGGGCTTTAGCTGAGGAGACATCTGGTGGGTGGCTTGTCAGCTCGACCATGGCAAAGCAGATGTACAACCAATCAGAACAGAGGGCCAGTTAGATTACAGAATGACAAAAATGCAACAGCCAATAGGCACTGCGAATCCGGCTTCACAGATGACATGTTATTCCCCGTTTAACCGAAGTTCGCTACAAACGAACATTTTGGCGGTTTATAATATCAAACTGCAGTGCTGCAGGGCAATGCTCGTGGTTATAGCCATTAGCTAACATGTTCCACTATTATTGTATATTTATTTTCCTGCCCAGGGGCAGCACCTGAAGCCCAGGCGTATATAGGGTAAACGAAGGCACTTGTAGGCTGACTCCCTTACAAATAAATGTAGGATTAGTGAAGGTGTTAACTAGGAATCCGACTATGGGGAAAAGTAGAGTCAGTTTATAGCGGTTATTGAACCTCACACTGGAATTGAAGATCATGCCCCAAATTCGTCTGGATTCGTGAAGCCAAACAGTCAGGGTTGTGGCAACTGATTGGAATGGTCGCCCATAGATCGCGCTCGTCAGCCCTCTCAAGATCCTCGACCTCCTGTCCCTCATTTTGCCTCGCCATGTCTGCCCACGGCCATGCACGCGAGGCACCCAGGGCAATTTATGAACAGATGGGCTTATTAGTGAGTTATGTTTTCTGTGCTTGTTACTCCCTCACGGTGCCCTCTGTCACGCCTACAGCGCCGACCAACAGCGAGCAGCACAGCAGGCAGCACCGCATGGGGTTGCCAGCAGGGCGTCAATGCAGCCTGACGCCTCCTCGCCTGTGCCCGGCACACGCAGCGCCAAGGGGGCTTCAGAGGCGCCTCAAAAGGCATCCAAGCCGCCTAGCGCCCCATGTTCTGCGCCCAACACACGCCATGGCAAGGAAGGGCGTGCTCCCAAGGGCCGTAATGCCGCAGCGGGGGAGGCAGGGGAAGCAGGGGAGGCAGGGGAAGCAGGGGAAGCAGGGGAAGCAGGGGAAGCAGGGGAAGCAGGGGAAGCAGGGGAAGCATGGGAAGCAGGGGAAGCAGGGGAGGCAGGGGAAGCAGGGGAGGCAGGGGAAGCAGGGGAGGCAGGGGAAGCAGGGGAAGCAGGGGAAGCAGGGGAGGCAGGGGAGGCAAGGGAAGCAGGGGCGGGCGGGAGGGACACTGTGCGAGTTGGAGCAGCACGTACTTCCATGGCGTGTGGCCGACATCTGCAACGACCGCCTCCTCTCCACCCTCGTGAGATGCTGCTTGCACCCTCGATGCCAACTGAGCTTGACATTATGAACTGACATAGCATGTGGTTGTTCGGTTCGGTTTGGTTCGGTTCACCTCTGTGATAGCACTACACGCGCAGAAGCCACTGCGCTCGTCTCCTTCACCCTTGGGCCTTGCCCCGCAAACCCCCTGCGCTGCCCATGGCCCCCCATCAGGTGTGACCCATCCCCACCACCTCCACAGACGTGCCCACCTACCTTGCTGCCTTCCGTTGGTCGCTCATTGCCGCGCCTCCCTCAAGCGCGCCCTGCTCGACCTCCCGCCCGCCTGCTCCCTCCCGGTCGTCGTGCACGCTCTCACGCGCGTGGAAGGTGGCCCGGTGGGTGCCTCGAGTGGGGGGGTGGACACCACTGCTACCTTCTGCTATGTAGACTTGGAGGTGTGCCGTGCGGTTGGGATGGGTGAGGCGCATGACGCGGATGGGGCGGGTGCAGCAGGGCAGCGTGTGGATGGCAGTGGGGCGGAGCAGGAGCTGAAGCCTACAGACGTGGTGCTGCTGTCATCTGCTCTCCCCTCGCGCCCACCCACACTGCTCGCCCCAGGAGTGCTGCACTGCTTGGCGCTGCTCGTGAAACCACGAGGGGCGGGAGGCTGCGCGCCAAGCTGGTGGCTCGTCGTGAGGGCTCGTGTGAGTACAGTGAGCTTAGGCCGTTAGTGGAAGCGGCAGCGGAGGGTAGCGAGCAGGAGCAGGCGAGTGCAGTGGCAGTGCGGTGGTATGCCACCCCGCTGGGGTGCCTGGCCACGCCCCTGCGCGTGTGGGTAGCGTTGCAGGGAGGGGAGGAGCCGAGCGAGGAGGGGGCGAGGCGGAGGAGGATGCTGAGGGCGCTACTGTGCTCCAAGGAGAGGCAACAGGGGAGGCTCAAGCTGGAGCCAAGAGAGCCGGATCGGAGTGGAGAGAGGTAAGGCGCCAAAGCCGTTTAGAGGGACGGGAAGAAGTGGGAAAGCTCGGCGTCGCATTCAACTAATTACCTCCTCCACTGCTCACGTTCTCTTTGTCCCTCTGCAGCGAAGCTCGGCGGTGCCCCCAGCCATTGCAGTGGCGCCTCACAAGGCAGCAGCTATGCTGCAAGCTGTCTCCGCCCTCTGCACTGCCCGCCACCGCAACCACTCCAAACACGCAGCCGTCCTCTCCTGCCTCTCCGCCGTCCTGCCCACCCCCACCCCTCCGCCTGCTGCTGATCTCCTCTCCCCACCCCCCGTCGATCCCACTACCGTCCCCCTCTTGCCCTCCTCCTCCACTGCTGAGGTCCCCTCCTCATCCTCCTCCTCCTTCCCCCCGCAGCCCAAGGCAGGGGTGGCGGGGCCACGGCAGGGGCAGGGGGAGGGGCAGGGGACGACGCAGGGGCAGGGGCGTGTGGGGAGCAGGCATGGGCTGACCGGGTGGAGAGGCGCATTCAGCGCTCTCATGGCCATGCTGCAGTGCACGAGCGCTCTCATGGCCGTGCTGCAGTGCACGGGCGCTCTCATGGCCGTGCTGAGGAGCACGAGGAGGAGCGTGAGAAGGGGCGTCGCACAGCCAAGGAGGAGAAGGTTGGAGGGGGTGGTGGAGGGTAGGTTGGCGGGGACGGCAAGGCGGAGAGTGGCGGTGGCAGGAGGCGTGAGGCTGCTGACCTGCTGAGCCTCTTCCGAGAGCGAGTGGGGAAGCTGGTGAGTCAGGCAAGGGATGCAGCTGCCATTCTAGCCCAGGACCTGCCGTCCTCCCTCCTGCCGCCACACCAGTGCGCGCTGCTGCTGCAGGCTGCTGAACTCCTGCCTGCGCTGCTGCACGTTCTGTCGTGCCCTGGGCTAACGTCTGCTGACGTCCTGCAGTGGCTGGATGGCGGGGCGAGGAGGACATCGAGGCAGGAGATCAAGGGGGTGCTTGCAGTGCTACAGGAGGCTACGGTGCTGGCGGGAATGCCCCATGGGAGTGGTGGGGCTAGCAGCTATGCCATGGGAAAGAATTGCAAGAGGAACACAACAGTCTTTGCAGCAAGACCCAACAGCAGCAGCAGTAGCAGCAGTAGCAGCACCACCACCACCACCACTGGTGCTTCTCGCGATCGTGCCACAGAGCTGTTCCACACCATCCGCCTCCACCTGCAAGGAATCCACGCAGTCAGCCCCGCCTTCGATCTCCCCGGGCTCAGCAGCAGCCCATCGTGGGAGAGCATAGCAGACGCATGTGTGCTCCCCTGGTGCACCCCTGGTGAACACACTAGGGCGCACCCCTGGTGCTCTCCACCGTGTCGTCGTCTGCTCGTTCGCTCATCCGCCTCTCGTGGCACTGCACGCAGGCAGCGTGCAGCGTGCCGTGCTGGTCGGCGACCCTCGGCAGCTTCCCGCCACCGTCATGAGCAAGGAGGGTGGGTGGGATGCGAAGTAGTGAAACTTTATGGAATCGGTCAGGGTCTTCGAGTTGTGTGATAAACCATATGCCTTGGTTCGGCCTGCGATGTATGGTGCTCTTCAAAGGTGGATTGCTTGCAATGGTACAAGTATGTACTGGCACGTTAGCAAGCATGTGAATGGTCCAGGGAAATAAGTAGTGGGCTTTTTTCACCAGCTGGGCTATGGTTTGCTGTGGTCTCTGATTAGAGGAGCTTCTGCTACCTTATATGTTTCTCCGCCCGCTTTATTTATTGTCAGAATTATCTTCCAAGCTCGGTGGTTTCCCCCTTTTCCCTCCTGTGTGAGCACGTGGCAGAAGCAGGTCAGTACAACCGCAGTCTATTTTAGCGCCTGCAAGGCAACGGGCGTGTGTTTTTAGGTGCCTCAAAAACAGTTTCCCCTTTCTTCTCCCTCATACCCAGGTGGCAGAAGCAGGTCAGTTCATCCGCAGTCTATTCGAGCACCTGCAAGGCAACGGGTGGGCGGTGCAGCTGCTGAGCGTGCAGTACCGCATGCACCCCTCCATCAGCGCCTTTCCCTTGCGCTGCTTCTACCGCGGCCGCATCCAAAATGGCGCCAACGTGTGCCGCCCGCAGCACAGTCCGCAGCACTTGTTTGGCGCGTACAGGTTCTTTCACGTGAAGGGCAGGGAGGAGCGGGAGGGCGGGGCTATGGAGGGAAGCAGCCGCAGCATTGGCAACTCCGTTGAATCTGCTCTCGTCCTCACCCTCCTGCACCGCCTCGCTCACGGTGAGCCTTGCATGCATCCTCCCGTCCTTCTTCTGCCCTTCGATCCTACACTCCCAGGGCTACTTTCTTG